TAAATAGATCGATAATTGACATTAATTTAGCAACAAGTTATGTATTTTTAAGTCCAAATACTTTTTATTTCTCATCACATCAATTTTAAAGAAGTAAGTAAATAAATATTTAACAATCTGATACAATCAACATCGCAACTGCTACAACATAAGAGTTCATTTTGTACATTTCAAAAGAAAAGTGATTTCTCACTTTATAAGGAAACAACTTTCTAATCATGATATTATTATTACTCCTAAATTTCCATATTTAATCAACATTATTATTTGAGTAATTGGAGTGACACACGTTATATTGTAAGTTTGTAACTTACAATTACATTTAATTCAACAAAAGAAAATTTTTAAATGAAAAATAAAATAACAAATATTAACATTTTCTTAAAATTATACAAGCTTTATGGAGACGCTTACCAAATTGAATCGAACGATGGCGTAAATAGTGGAAGAATTCGTTCCTTAACTTGATCTCACATATCTTCTTCCTTAATCAACTGCAGAGTTAATATTTGGACTGTATAGAACTGACTTCTTTTCTAGTGTAAAGATCTAGAGTGCTTGAACATGATATGGGGAAAAAAGAGAAATTGGAAGCTAAGGAGAAATCACTTATGTAAAAGTATAGGAATTAATGTAGTATATATACACAAAACTAAAATTCAAATGATCCTAAACTTGGGATAACAGATAAATTCCGCTAGCTTCACTAAACTTGCGCACGGTTGGAAATAATCGGTCCTTTTTTTTTCTCACCAAGTGTTTAAGTGATAAAAGTGGTGACAAATACTTTCAATTTAGTCACTCCAATTCAAGTGACAAAGCTGGTGAGTATAGTCACTAGGGCTTTAGGTGCCTGATTTAAGTGCCTAATTCAATCCTTTTTTGTAGTGCAAATGAAAATGTCAATTATCCAAACACCTTATTAGCTGATTCATCTGATCAAAAGGTCAAATCAGTCAAAAAAAGTGCTGACAGACTCTTAACCAAACATCATCAAAAATGGCCAAACATTTTTTCTTTTGCTTTTATATGTGGAGGGTAATTTCGTTTACTTATACACATATTTGACTTTTGATGGTAATCTAGCTTAGTCGCTTGACTTTTGATGATAATCTAGCTTAGTAGCTTATACTTATATGGTTATACCTTAGGCCTTGTTTGCTTCAAAGGAGAGAAGGAAAGGGGAGAGTCAAGAAGGGAAGGGAAGGGAAAAGAGAGGAATGATTTTGATAAAAAATTGTCTCTTAGTTGAAGGAATTAGGAGGAAAGTTTAAGGAAATTATTTTTCCAATTTACTTTTATTTGATAGCTTCTTTAAAAAGCTAGATACGTCTAACTATTATGAATATTGGTCCTAAGGTCATGAGCTATAATATAACTATTTTTTAATTTATATTTATTAAATAATTTTTAAATGTTTAAGTTTTTAAATTTTCTATTTTTATTAGTTTTTTAATTTTTTAAATTTTATAATTTTTTTTAAGTTTTTAAGTTTTAACTTTTTAATTTTTTTTTAAAATTTTTTGTTAATTTGATTTTTTTCTTATTTAATTTTTAATTTTGCAATTTTTAATTTCTTAATTTCTTAGATTTTTAACTTTTTATAATTTTTTAATTTTTAACCTTTTTAATTTATTTAATTTTTTGATATTTTAATTTTTTAATATTTTAATTTTTTAATTTTTTAATTTTTTAATATTTTAATATTTTATTTTTTTTTATTTTTTTTTATTTTTTAGGTTTTTGATTTTTTTATTTTTAAATTTTGCAATTTTGAATTTCTTAAATTTTAAATTTTTATAATTTCTTGATTGTTTAAATTTTTTTAATATTTTTTAATTTATAGTTTCTTATTTTTTAATTTGTTAATTATTTAATTTTTATTTTTTTAATTTTTTAATTTTAATTTTTTTTTAAGTTTTTTAATTTCTTTTTAAAAGTATTTTTCTAAAAGTATAAAATTTATAACTTTTGTAATATTATACTAATCAAAATGAAGGTTCAATGTTTTTGAAATGGCAAAGTTTTTTCGTACGGATGCAGTAATTTTTAAAATTTTCGATTTTCAAATTTTAAAATTTTAAATTTTCTATTTTTTATTTTGATTTTTCAAACTTTAATTTTATTTATTTATTTTTATATTTTAACTATTTTTTCATTTTTTGTATTATTGCTTTTTGTCCATTCACGTAGGAAAAAATGATGAATAATTTGTCATTACTAAATGTTTCCTCCGAAATACCCCGATTTGAGGGGTTGAGAATGGGAGGAAGTGAAGAATTTTGGAAGATTTCGACTTTCTTCCCCTTCCCCCATATTTCCTTCAACCAAACATACACAAATCACTCACTACCTCCCCCTCTCGAAACCCTCGAACTAAATAGGCCCTTAGACTTTTCAGGTAAGCAACATAAGATTCATATACTTGTAGTATTTTCCAAATGGTGTCTACGCTCTATATTCGTATTTACGAAGTACTCCGCATTAGGTAGTACGTAGTATATACTCCATGTTAGTATAACATACGGCCTCATTTTTGGATGACTCTTTCATGATACTTTAGTTTTTAAACGTAATAGAACTTTGGATTTAGAGTCCATTTGGTGATATTAAATCAATTGGATGGTGATATCTTTTCAGCTAGTTGTGTCAAATATACTCTATATATTAGACTTTTTGTGTAAGCAACATAAGGTTCATATAGGACTACTTCCATCCCTTAAAGTTTTGTCATGTTTGATTGACACGGAGAATAATAAAGTAATAACTGTGTGGTTGCGGTTTGCATCGAGAAGAGAGAAATAACAGGAACCACAAAATAATGGATTAAAAGGGAAAATGACAAATTTTTTTGCAATGTCCCAAAAATGAAAGATGACAAAGTTATAAGAAACGGAAGGAGTATCTTCCAAATGGTGTTTACACTCTATATTCGTATTTACGAAGTACTCCGTATTAGGTAGTACGTAGTATATACTCCGTATGAGTATAACATATGACGCCTTTTTTGGATGACTCTTTCGTGATACGTACGAAATATACTTTAGTTTTAATCGTAATAGAACTTTCAATTTAGAGTCCATTTGCTAATATCTAAATCAACTACATTGGTTTATTCTACTTAAATTTATAAAGTTATTATTGAAGTGCTGAGATTGATTGATTTTGTTAATTTATGAATTTTTTTTATTTAAAATATATTTTATTAATAAAAAAAATATATAAAAAATAGCTAAAATGATCATATATAATAACTTCAGCCAATACAAAGGTAACTTTAAACTTACTTTTTCTCATTATTATACATTTTCGAGAGCGAAATCAAACGTTACGTGTTTGGTGAAAAAAATGACTTATAATCCTGATAAGCCGAAAAACTGGGTCACCAAACGAGCTCTAGTCCTTGAATGCAAAAATTGCTTCTATATGAATTTTAATTATTAAAGCAGATTTAATTGTCTACAGAAAAGATGTAATTTTGTTGCATTCCACCTTAAAGCCAACAAAGTGCAAATTAATTCAGGATGGATGAATTGCCTCTTTCATCATAATCAACATCAATATTCTCAAAAGGATGACAGAAGCGCTCAATCCCGACTGGACGGTACGTTGGAAGGATGTAAATTGGACTATAATCCCAATCTGACAGATACAGAGTGAGGCTCTGTCCCCGATACTTGTAGAGACCTTATGTACTTTTAGCATAGTAACCCCTCGTCGCAGTTGCCAAGATTCAAACCCGTGACCTAACTCTTGTGTCACTCCTTTGCTACAAGTTGAGCTACGTCCACCAGTTACATGAGATTATATAACGAGCGGGTTTCCGGGAGTCGAACAGTTGATCAGTCGATCAGTTTAACTTCATAAATTTCAATAAATTCTGCCGATTTAGTCATTTTAAGTGTTCTCAAATGAGCTCTAAGATATCTATGCATCTTATCCTTTTAAACCTGTTATAGAATAAGACAATAAGTGCCTCTGAATAAGTTATACACTTATACTATGTACTATTCAATTCATGAAGAAGAAGAATTAAAAATAACATTTTTACTACTTTCGTTCCGTTCTTAAATAAGTGGAATACCCCAATTTTCAGTTTGCCTATGCATATTTTTGACTATTACTATATTTAATTCTTTATTGTTTAAAAATAAAAAATAAAAAAATTAGAATATGAAAATTATAATGATACATATTGAATAATACTTGTTTCAAAAAAATTTATTAATACATTGATAAATAAAACGTAATCAAAGTAAAATGTGTGAATAAAATAAAATTCAACATGTTACACAATTCAATTCAAAGTAAAATGTGTGAATAAAAAGAGAGAAAGTTTGATTAGAATAAAAAATACTCCGTATTCCGTAACATTTAATTGAATTGTGTATAGTTTAGTCAAATGTTTTTTTTTTTACCGAAAATCGATCTGTGTAATATACTCCCTCTGTCCTTCCAACTTTGTCCCGTTTTACCTTTTTCGTCCGACCCATTAAATTTGTCTCATGCCATTTTTAGTAATATTTGGATGATTACAATTCAGGATGTTTTTACTTGGACTGTAATTTGCTGGTCTGGTCTGATCTGATCTGATCTGGTCTTGTCTGGTTTCTTTGTATTTTTATAACTATCCAAGTCTGGTCTGGTCTGGTCTGATCTGGTCTGGTCTGGGAGGAATTACAGTCGAAGTAAAAACATCCTCATTCTTACTTTATATACACTTCATTAATTCAATACCAACCATAAAATTTCACTTTTTCGTAAAAGTTGTGTCACACCCTCTCATCCCAAATATAGTGGGATAATGTTATTACCAAGTACCACGTGGTTGTTAGTACGAAGTTTACCAAATTGGAACAGTGTGATTTGCGAAGTACAACTGGCCAGCGAGGACAATACGGAACTTTTTGATGGCACGGGCCCCACCAGAATTTCCATCTCTGCAACACACAATATACACCTCTATCGCTCTATAAATACAGCTACTCGTGGTTGACACTAAAAAAACATTCTATAGATTGAGAATCCAAACATTCTTTGATTAATTTCTCTCAAATCATAATATATTCTTTGAAGTCATGGCAATATTGTCCAAAATAGCCACTGAAGATGGGCATGGAGAAAACTCGGCCTATTTTCATGGCTGGAAGGCTTATGACAGTGACCCTTTCCATCCAAAAAAGAATCCTCATGGAGTTATTCAGATGGGTTTAGCTGAAAACCAGGTAATTAATTAATTACTATTCATATTAACTACTACCTCCGTTCCAAATTGATTTACAAATTTGACTTTTCCTTATTAAACAATTTCATTTTATTTGTTTAATTACGATGTCAATTTTTAATTATAGTCTAATTTGGAGTTTACAACTTTGAAGAGATTTCAACGTAGTTTCTGAATATATAAATTTTAATTATTAAAAATTGAAGTAATTATCGATTGGGAGCATTGACTTTTTTTATTGGTTAACCAAAAAATGTTGATTTTGCAAAACAATTTAAGACGGAGGGAGTATATATGTGTTGAATTGAAACTTCCATTTTTTTGTTGTAAAGATCATTAATGTGGTAACTGTTTTTTGGTATATATTTTGCAGCTCTGCTTTGATTTGATCAAGGAGTGGGTGGTAAACAACCCCAAAGCCTCCATTTGTACGGCCGAAGGAGCAAAAGAGTTCAAAGATATTGCTCTTTATCAAGACTATCATGGATTACCTGAATTCAGAAATGTATCAATCTTTCTTTATATGGTCGAACTTAATTAGCATGCTTTTTGAATTGTGGGAAGGGATTTTTACTTTAATGAAGAAAATGAAAGTTAAATTGCAAGAATAAGAGTACAAGTTTGATATTATCACAACTAGAGTAACGTAATGTAACTCTTCTTGTTCAACCTTAATTTGTCATATGTTATAATTAAGAATATCTTTTATTTATAATAAAAATAAAAAAACGTAAAAAAATATGCAAAAATTAAGCCAATAAAGCCATTCATGACATTTTCAGAGCGAATTAAAATTGAATTTTCAAAAGAATATTGTCATTTTCATGATATTTTGAGGTAAAAGTGGCAATTTAGACAAGATGACATGTTTATCTGACGTTCAGAGGTGACAATCCTGAAAGGTGGTAAAAGATCTTTATTTGACCCCCTCCGGCATGTTCAGAGGTGACTATAATGGAGATGACACGTTTCTATGACAGTCAGAGGTGACATGTTTTTATTCGAACTAGAAAATATGTTTATCTTTTTTTGTTATTATAAATAAAGATAATTTTTGTAAGAGTTGAATAGGAAAAATGAGTGCTAATAACTCTCATTTTTCCTTTTGACAATGTTTTACTCCTATTTACCTAACTATCTAGAGCAATTTTCTCCTATTTGTTATTATTTGTTAGTCCATTGGAGAACTAAAGCGAGAAAATCGAGTTTATATAATCCTCTTGAGATAATACTGTGATTTGATTTTAGTACATCTTGCTAGCGTTGTGTTGATTTTTCTTTCTTTTTACTAGTAAATGAATCATATTATTGGTTAAATTGGTTACTACCGTTGAGAAATTGTTCTTTTTACTAGTGAATGAATCATATTACTCCCTCCGTTTCTAAAAGAAACTCACACTTTCCTTTTTGAGATGTTTCAAAAACAAAGTCACACTTCCCTTATTTCCTTATTTGACAAAGAAATCTATATCCAAACAGTGCCAAACAGTGCGAAACAATGTCAAACAGTGTCCAAACAGTACCAAACAATGTATAAACGGTGTTTTATACAGTAAACTCAATTTATTTCTTTAATAATCGCGAAGTCAAACCGTGACTTTCTTTTGGAAACGGAGGGAGTATATTACTCCCTCCGTCCCCCAATTAAGTTATCACTTTCTTTTTTGGGCAGTCCCTAAATTAACTTCACACTTCCTTATTTTCTTTATTTGGCAAATTATGTACATCAAAACAGTGTCAAACAGTGCAAAACGGTGTCTAACAGTGTTTGAACAGTGCAAAACAGTGCACTCCACATTAAAGTCAAATTTATTTTCTTAATATATGTGAAGTCAAACTGGGAACTTAATTGGGGGACGGAGGGAGTATTAAAATATGGTTAAATTATATTATTAAAATATGGTTAAATTGGTCATAGGCTGTGGCAAGATTCATGGAGAAAGTGAGAGGAGACAGAGTGAAGTTCGACCCTGACCGTATTATTATGAGCGGAGGTGCAACTGGAGCTCAAGAAATGCTAGCCTTCTGTTTGGCAGATCCAAGAGAAGCCTTTTTGGTCCCAACCCCATATTATCCTGGGTATGATTTTCTGATTTTCAATTCATTTAAGTTATTTAATCGTTTATGTGCATATTATTTACTATCTTCCTCTCAAATTGATTTGCAAATTTAACTTTTTTTGGTCAAACAGTTTCATTTTCTTCGCTTGATTAAGATGTCAATTTTTAATTATATTTTAATTTGTAGCTTACAACTTTGAAGAGATTTTAATGTAGTTTATGAATATATAAATTTTAATTATTAAAAATTGAATTAAATATCAATAAGGAGAATTGACTTTTTTTATTGATTGACAAAAAAATGTTGATTTTGCAAAACTAGTTGGAACAGAGGGAGTACTATTACTTACTCCCTCTCATTTGCCTTTTTGAAAAGTTTTATATGACTGAGAGTTATTTATCTTTTTCTTACTCAACCATAATAATGCATTTTCATTTTATTCTCATTTTCTTAGACTTCAATCTAAGTCAAACTCAGAAGAATTTATGAGACGAAAGGAGTACTCAGAGGCACTTATATTCGTTGATGATACTCTTACACCGGTGGGCGTAGCTCAACTGGTAGCTAGGGAGTGCACAAGGGTTAGGTCTCGGGTTCGAATCCTTGTGCACTCCATTGCATAGGGCTTCTGCAAGTACGGGGATAGAACCACACTCTCTATCTGTCAGATTGAGATTGTAGTCCAATTCCCAACATATCGTCCGATCGAGGTTGGACGTCTTTAGGATGAGTGTCATCTTTTTTTTGTTGATGATACTCCTACTAACAACAACGCTGGTTGAATGTGATACAGATTTGACAGAGACGTAAAGTGGAGAACACAGGCAGAGCTTTACCCAGTGGTCTGCGGAAGCGCCAATGGCTTCAAAGTGACAAGAACCGCTTTGGAATCAGCATATAACGAAGCTTTAGACAAGAACATCACAGTGAAAGGCTTGCTCATTAACAACCCTTCAAATCCACTCGGCACCGTGCTCGATCGCGAAACCCTTAAAGAAATCGTGCGTTTCATAAACGATAAGAGCATCCACCTCATATGCGATGAAATCTATGCTGGCACGGTCTTCGGCACCACCGAATTCGTCAGTGTAGCAGAAATAATCCAAGAAGTGAGATGCAATCATGATCTAATACACATCATCTATAGCCTTTCCAAGGACCTAGGGTTTCCCGGGTTCCGGGTCGGGTTAGTTTACTCGTATAATTCGTCGGTTGTGAGTTGCGCGAGAAAAATGTCGAGTTTCGGGTTAGTCTCAACCCAAACACAACACATGATTGCTTCGATGCTTTCGGACGAGGAATTCGTGGGGAAATTCATCCATGAAAGCTCAGAGAGGTTGAGGAAGAGGCATCGGGATTTCACGACCGGGTTGTCCGAATTCGGGATTGACACGCTGAAGAGCAATGCAGGACTGTTTGTTTGGATGGATTTGAGAAGGCTACTTAGAGAACAGACATTCGAAGCGGAACTCGAGCTCTGGAAAGTGATCATTGATGAAGTGAAGCTTAATGTGTCCCCTGGCGTTTCTTTCCATTGTGCGGAAGCTGGCTGGTTCAGAGTGTGCTTTGCTAATATAGATGACGAGACAATGAGGGTGGCACTTATGAGGATATGGAAGTTTTTGCTTCAGAAGAAGGGTGTGGAGGCAGAGGTGGGATCTACGAAGAAGAAGTGTAGTAGAAGAACATTGAAGATCAGTTTATCATTTAAGGGATTGGATGATGGTTTAATGTCTTCTGCTCCTCATTCTCCTATGAACTCCCCTATGGTTCAGGCAACGAATTAAACAAACATGAATTACTATTTTAATTACCCAAAAATAATACTATTTAATTAAAAATAAGAAATCTAAAGTTGAAAGAAATAACATTGAACCATTTTTTGATACGGTTATGTTCACTATAACTGTTAATATTCTGTTCCTCCCGCTATATAGTTGGAGGAAAAAATGAGGCCACAATGGGTTTTGATATGTTCTTTCTTAGTTTACGTCAATGTTTGAAGAATTTGAAATACATGGGGTGTATTTAGTCCTCTTCTTGCGTAACTCCAATATGAAATACATTAGTGTATTTAGTCCTCTTCTCATCCGATTATGCAATGTTTTTGGATTTGTCAATCAATAGACAAAGTATAATCATCATTTGTTTTACTCTTTTTTTGCTGCATTTTTTAGTTTATTATAGTACCTATTCAATGTTAAATGTCAACATCATTGACTGAGATAAATTTTGAACTTATAACCTCCTCCTCGAGAGTGCGATGTCATCGAACTGCAAAGTGCTTGGCTATCACATTATTGGTTTATGAACATAAAGAGTAACATAAAAGTAACAAGACGTTAAGAGTAAAAAATTAATAGAATTCTAATTATGAACATGATAATTATTGTGACACTAACATAAAAGTATAAGTAAAATAAAAAATTAATAGAGTTCTAATTATGAATATAATCACAACTTGACACTATCATAAAAGTATGCATCCAAATGTGAAGAAGTAAACTATTTTTCATTTAGAATCTGTTTGGTAGTCCTATTTTTCAGCTTATCAACTTATGAGCCAACTTTTTCACCAACATAAATACTTTTGGGAAATACTTTTTAACCATAGTTAGATCTAACAATATTTTGGGAATTGAAATACTTTTAAGTTTACTGTAATTTCATTATCAAATTTTTACATTATTTTTGGAAAAATCTTAAATTCCAAAATATGACTAAATTTCTTTTCTTCTCAAAATAGAACACATTTAGTCATGCTATAAGATTAAATTATTAAATCCAAATGCAAGGGAAAAGTCATATTTTTAAAACAAAACAATAGCAGTAACATGATTTTTATCCGTGAAATGGTGTGTTATTTTACATCAATATAGAGAATTTTCTAAAAACCTTTAATTGAAAAGGGGAAATTAGAGTTACAACGTTTAAGAATTCCAAAATAGGATTGTAATATTTTTTATTCTCTCTATATATATAGGAGTAACTAGTGCGAAACATGGAAAATACTATCATTTTTAAAATAGAAATTACTTCTATCTAGAGAGAAAAAACATGATATTTTATTTTGTAATATAGGAACATTTTTAACTTGCACGACTACAACAATGTTGCACATACTCCTCGTACTTTTCCTCTCCATCAAGTTCGGTGGGTCACACTAAAACTTGAAATAGAAAAAGATTCACGTTTAATAAGGTTTACGATATATATGTCTAGACACAAACGTCAAAAGTCAATTAGTTAGGTGAGTGTTGCACTACTCGAAAATAAATGAGAATGCCATACCAACATACACTTCATTGTTATAGTAACTCTGTCCCACTAAGATTGAGACAAGAGAAAGACACGATTATTAAGAAAGTGAGTTTGTGTGGTTGATATTAAATTGATAAAGTAAGAATAAAGTAATAATAATTTAAAGCCACACGATCTTTACTAAATTTGGTATGAGACGATCTTAGTGAGAGTTCTCGAAAAGGTAAAGTGAGTCGATCTTAACGGGATGGAAGAATATCATTTATTAATATTTAATGTCCAATTGCAATATTTTAATGGGTCAATGTACTCAAAGTGCGGTACTTTGAGAATACCGTAAAATTTGACTTAGTGTTATCACTTATCAGGATTGCTAAAAATTCACCTATAAGTTACTAAGAAAAAAAAAATGTTTTTGATTGAATTGATTTTGATCCTAGACTAGATCGCATAAAATATAATACGGAGTATGTACCATACCACAATAGTTCAAAGAAAATTTAAATAAACTAAATCAGATCGGATCACCCAAAAAATATCAATCCACTGAATTAATACATTTTAGAGCTCCGAATTTCTTATTTGATCATTTCTCCCTTACAAAAAGTAAGTAGATTAAGAGATTAATAAAGCCATTAGCTAATTAAAGTGAAAAAATGTATTTAAATACTACGTTTATACGGAGTAGTTTTTAACAGTACGTATACCGTGCAACCGGAGCATGGTGAGCACCATGCTCCACACCCCAAAACGACGTAGTATCGATCAAATTTAAAAAAAATCACGTGAACAGTACCCGCGTGAACAGTACCCGCGTGAACAGTACCCGCGTGTACAATTTTTTTTTTAAATTTTCATCCCAGTACCATGAATGATGTAACTCGTGCATAATTTGATGTAACTTCTGTTGCTACAAATGTAACTTCAGTTAACAACATATGTAACTTGTGCCCTGAAATCTAACTCATGTTTAATGAAAAAAAGAGTTTAATTGTCCAATTATTTTACATAAATAGTGCATATGTTTTGTTTTTAATATTAGGTCCATTAATAATGATTTTTAATAATAAAATCACTTTTGATTGAAAAACAGAGGTTTGTTTTGTTGTGTAACTTGTATAGTTTGTTATGTAACTCGCATATATTAAGATGTAACTTGTGTACATTAAAATGTAAATAACATGTAAACAAGATGTAACTTATTGAGGAAAATTGAAATGTAAAACCCGTGCTACAAAATGTAGTTTAGCCAAAACGAGATGTAATTCTAGTGTATATGAAATGTAACTTTAGGCCATTCAAATGTAAATGGCCTTTATACAGATGTAACTTCCGCCAAAAATATACTAAGTCTATGCTACACCATCTCCACAACCTTGTTTGATGTTTCTGCAATTGGCGAATGGAGAGCTCTCCACAACCCTATCTGCCGCTTTTTCATTTCAAAATAGGTTCCAAAATAATAAATAGCAACTATAATACGGAGTATGACAGATTCAAATAAAAAAGAAGTATGTATCTCGTTAGTCATCTATGTCGGCGAGCACACAAAGGCATGACAGGTACAAAGCTTGGATCTGCGACGGATATAAGGTTGCGATTGCCTCCAAACGGGCAAAGAAGGTCTCCAGCGATGGCGGCGCCTCCAAACGGGTAAAGAAGGTCTCTGGCGACGATGGCGCCTCCAAACGTGCAAAGAATGTCTTCAGCGACGACGGCCGATTTGGGGAGGATTAATTGAGCTCGCGTCTTCTTCTTTGACAGCTAACTGATCTCTTGCGGTGTGGTGGACTGGTGGCATCTTGTTTCAATGTACGCGTAGGAATTGATCTCTTTTATAAATTAATAAACCTACATCATTTTGGGATCGACACACCATGTGCATGGTGGGCCGATCCCACGATATAATTTGCGAGTTTTTAATTCTCTCGGGACTTTGGTGGAACTAGTCACATCAGCTCTCACGTTGCATGGATGATAAATTAAATTAAATTTTTCCACAAAAATTTTTAATGTGTATATAATTGTTGTATACAAATTGAATACGTGAAATAAGATTATGTTAGATGCAAATAATTTGTAATTATATGAGATATACAAAATAGTATAAAATTATAAATGAAAAATTTTGAGTAATTTTTTTCTTGGGATGAATATGATAATTATAAATATATTCATATAATTTTATAATATTTAATGGTAATTATGATGACCATACTGTAGACAATTTAAAGTGCAATAAATACATTTCTAGATATGGAGTTTATCGAATATCAAAATTTTATCTTACCTTTTTTAATAGAATATGATTTATTTTATATATGGAAAAAGAGATATTACCTGAAATAGGACTAAAACAGTTAGAAAATTCCAAAATAGGACTGCCATATTTTTAATCCCAAAATAGGACTAATTACTGCTATGTTTTGGCAGTATCAGACTTCAAACATGTCAGTATTTTCTAAACATTACAGTAATTAGTCCTATTTTGGGAATAAAAAAATTATAGTCTCATTTTGAAATTTTGAAACTGTTTTAATTCTATTTCGCGAATTTTCCCATTTTAAAAATATCAAAAAAACCGAAAACAAATGATGAATGGCGACATGATACGATAAATACGAAGTACGTATTTGATTACGAGAGGAAGTGTTGATGTATATTTCACATTGGTTAAATATAAACTAATTAATAAACTAAGTACGTATGTCAAACCATGCGGGTTAGCTTTTTAGCTAATAACAAATTATGTTAGCGGGTTATTAATAATAGAATCAGTCCATAGGTTAATTTGATTAGCAAAATAAGTTGGTGAGTTGGAAAAACATATTTAATAATTTTGTTGTTTGGCCATAACAATTAGTAGGAAATGCCAATTAATTTCAAAATACTATCCCAAAAATGATGCTATTTTATCCATTTTCATTTCAATGGTTCTTTCCAAAAACGCTAAGACTGAACAACTATTTACCAAATAGCGTTTTCACTTATTAAAAACGTTAAAATGTATTTAAGCACTATTTTTTTACTAAAATTTTCAAACACTTCCTATATGATTTAGATAACAAAAATGCTTGGTGTATACATGCTTTAATTTTGTACACCATTCTCACACTTCGTCTGTCTATATTTAGATAGACAAAATTGTCTGTATACAAACAACTTTTGTATCTCCAGATGAATTGTTTGTATATAGACACCTTTATCTATGTAGACAGACAAAATATTTGAATAGTGTACAAAATTAAAGAAGGTGTACATCAAACATTTTGGTTTACATAACCCGAAGAGAAGAAGATTCAACACGGTTTTACAGTTCTTCATCCGTCCGCCCAAATTAGAGAAATTGCCCTTTTTGAAAACACCTGAAAAAATATTACCATGTTTTAACAAAAGAAATATGGAGTAGTACTTCAGTTGGTTTTTTTGACTTTTTCCCCTAAAAGTTTTACTACTATTATCACCTAATGCATTTTAGTAAAACTTTATGATCGTTGACCAAAATTTTTAAAGAGCTCATATGACTCGGTAAACTAATAAACTACATATGTAAAACCATGCGGGTTAGCTTTTTAGCGAATAACCGATTATGTTAGCGGGTTATTAATAGCAGAACCAATCAGTAGGTTAATTTGATTAGCGCAATAAGTTGGTGAGTTGATCATAGCAATTAGTAGGAAATGCCAATTCATTTCAAAATGCTATCCCAAAATTATGCTATTTGCACTATTTTCATTTCAACGGTTCTTTCCAAAAACGCTAAGACTGAACAACTATTCACTTTTTAAAAACGTTAAAATGTATCAAAGCACTATTATTTTATTACTAAAATTTTCAAACACTTCCTATGATTTAGATAACAAAAATGCTTGGTGTATACATGTTTTGGGACACCATTCGCACACTT